TTATCAAAGTGGATGGACATGTCAAACAAAGTGAAAGTCTCATGGTGAGGGACAACGTAATCAGTTTTAGCAAGCTCCTTGACATCAAGTGGACACAAATAAGTCATTCTCTATGTGGAAGTTTGTTGAGAGCAACTGAGCACACACTTATGCCAATAACATGCACATGCTTATGGGCCTACCTAAAGAAGGAGGGGAGGTGGTTAAAGAAGTTGTTATAGAAGGAAAGTTGTACAATAAATTGAAAGGAAAGTATGTTGGGTGTAGATTTTCAAACATAAAAAACATGATCATTAGAGGTAATGAAAATGATTTGTTTGAGGTGTTGCTTGTTTTGTACATATTGGGTACACTTTTATGTCCTCTTGTGAGAGGAGAAGTGAATTTACGGTTGATGAAGATCATCTCTTATAGAAAAACAGCTAATGTCCTATAATTGGAGTAAATTTATTGTTAAAGAGTTAATGAGGGAGGTCAAGCAATACAAGAAGGTTGCATCTAATAGTGAGAAAAAAAAAATCACACGTTGGTGATTGCCTTTATTTCTTAATGGTAAGCAGCATAATTTGATTGTATTTACATTTGTGTATATGACATTTTTTTCTGCCTTGTGATTCCAAATTATGTCTCTTCAAAACTTTTCCGTGGCCGAAGGGTTGGCTCTGTGCTATTACACATGGACTTTTAGTTGAGAATATATGAATATTGTGTTGTGCATAATGGATATTGTGTTGTACATTGTGTTAAGAATGTATGTACATTGTATTATGCATAGTGGACATTGTGCTGTACATTGTCGCACATGTTGTGTTTTCAAATTATAAAGGAAAAATCATACGTTTTGTCTCAAGAAAAATTACAACAAGAGCCCTTGAGCCTGCGGTGCAATATCAAAAATTTTTTAGGCTTAAAGTACAATAATTTGTCTTTTTAAAGCCCATAGTTCGATTCCCCCATTTATTTATTTTAATATTTTAATAAAATTTAATTTAATTAAATTACAATATATTATTTATAGATTTACTTATGTTTATATGAGGGAAGGAATAATATTTATTTATATAAAAATATAAACAGGTAAGCATGATAGACTAACAAGCCAAGCTTGATTGTAAGCCAAGCTTGATTGTAAGCCTAGGTATAGTCTTTTTCTTAAATAGGGTAGGTAAGGCCAAGTCTTAATTAGACTCCTATCATTAGTGACCCACAATAAAAAAAAAAATGGTGAACCAGTACTTTAGCCAATCCAATTAAGAGTTCCAATCTAATTAAGAGTTTTGGACAAATTGACTAGGTTAGATTTTATATTCTTTTCTCCCCTTATTGAGCTTGAAACAACGTCATTTTAAGTTAAAAAAATAAGTTAATATGTAATTTAAATCTTAAACTATAGGTCCAAAGGTAATTTAAACCTTAAATTTTAAAAAGTACGTTTTGAACCCTAAACAATTAAAATTAGAGTAATTTTGCTCCCACCATTAAATTTGAACAAACTTCCATTATTTTTTTTAAATTAGGATCCAATGTGCAAATTCACCAAATTTCACTGCCTCTCTTTCTCCTACCCATATTTAAGAAAAATTACACATTAGGCTCAATTTTTTTAAAAAAAACCAATGGACATTAGTTCAAATATAACGGTAAGGGCAAAATTATCCAAACTTTAATTGTTTAGAATTTAGAATGTATCTTTTTAAAAATTTAGAGTTCAAATCACTCTTAAACTTATAGTTCAAGATTTAAATTATATATTAACCATTAAAAAATTTATAATAGTTTGTCACTACGGGAATTTTAATCATTTGAATGGACAATATTAATTTTGCCTTGAGAGATGCAGAGAAACATGATACTAAGGGGATCTGATTCTGATCATGTTCACTCTCTCCTATTTGGGCTGCCTCAGCCCATGATGATGGCTTTCACTGGAAGTGGCCAGATTCAGGAAATCCTCATAACACTGACAGTTTTGGGGAGAATTAGACTAAAATATCAAAAGAAGTGAATGACAGTTTGATGCCCCACACAAATTTTTAAAAATAAATTATAAATATTAATTCAAGTAGTTAAAATAAAAATCTTAGGTATAAGCTGAAAATCATATTTATAATTTAAATATATTATTGATAATTAGAATTTTTGAATTTATAATTATTTAAATTGATATTTATAACTAATTTTTTTAAAAAATTATTATAAATTTAATTGCTATTAATTATTTCTTTTAAAATTTAATGTCATCCTTAGGACAATTTATTCATTTATTGTTTCGTGAATGTTTATAGTTGAAAATTCACATGAATGCAGATGTTGGGCAGCATTACGTTATGCGATAGACTCAGAGAAAGAGAGAGGGAGGGAGGTTGCTTCGTGAATGTTTATAGTTGGAAATTCACATGAATGCAGATGTTGGGCAACGATGCGATAGACTCACACACACACACACAGAGGGGGGGAGGGAGGTTGCTTCGTGAATGTTTATAGTTGAAAATTCACATGAACGCAGATGTTGGGCAGCGATGCGATGGACTTAGAGAGAGAGAGAGAGAGAGAGAGTGTGTGTGTGTGTGTGTGCGCGTGCGTGTTCAGAAACGGATATAGGAGTTGATCCATGGGCAAAAAATGAAGTTAATTGAGGTTGCAAAGATCTTATTATAATTTCTTTACAATTTTAAATTGGGAAAGTGATTGAAAAATTTTTCTAATCACATTGGGATCTCATAAAATATGTTCCTTTCAAGTCATTTGAAATTTTTTTTTTGATATTAATGTCTTCTGTGAAATTATTATATTATAATACTCTCAAATGTTGTAAATAGTAGTAATTAATTTGATTTAAGCAATGGTTATTTTTCTTTTAAAAATGACTAAACCATGATAACAAATGACAAGTTTGCACTATAAATTTTTTAATTATTAAAGTTTAAGTGTTGTAAATTGCAGTCAATATTTTGGTTTAAGAAATGATTGTTTTTTTTTTCCAACAATAACTAAAATAGGATAAATAATTATAATTTCTTTTCCGCAATTTTTTTAATCGCAAAAGTCCAAGTGCTCTAAACATCAAGGATTACTTTGATTTAAGTAGTAATTATTTTTCTTCTAGTAATAATTAAAATGGGGATGAGTAATTATAACTTCCCTAAGCAAATTTTGTAATCAATGAAATCCAAAATAATAATTACTTTTCTTTTAAAAATAATTAAAATAAGATAGTAAATGACAATTTTCGTTGTGCAAATTTTTTAATCATTCATCCATAACTTTTTTTTAGTTTAATGTCAAAAAGTTTTTAAAAAAACTTGAGAAGAATTATCATATTTCATGAGATTTTACTGTCATTTGCATTTTTTTAGGAGAAATTTTTTTATTATTTTTCCTTTTTAATTTCTTATAAATTCTAGTTTTTTAAAATTTTAGCTACCAACCCTCTCGTTTTCTGCACGTTACCTTTTTACCATCAAATGTTTTTGTTACTCTCACATCTCTTCTCACCTTTCATTCCCATCTTTCATTAATTGAAGAATGTAAATGATTTCATCACTTTCAATCTTCCATTTTTGCCTCAAATCTAAAAGTAATCTCACAGTACCATGCACCTTGATGGTCCCCCTCATCTCTCATCTTATTTATGGTGGGTAAAGCTATTCTTATATTTCTACAAATTAAGAGTAATAAACATATAGTTATGAGAAAAATGAAGACATTATAATATATTCAAATGAACTGATTTATTAATAGTAGTCAATTATCACCAGGATATGTCGTCTGTTTATCTGAATAATCCATTGACTTCTAATCAATTATTTAAGCTTTTTATTATTAGCTTATGAACTGTAGGTGGTCTCCTAGGCTTAGTTGCTTGCTCAAATGAATAAACAATTTCAATGAGTGTTGGTTCTGAACCTCTCAAACCTGAAAAGCCAATTCCAATTGGCTTGTCCTCATTATTGCTGCCTGCAGGCACATTAATTCCAGTATACCCTCCAATGGCAACCACACCATCAATCCTATAACCAGGGCTGACTATTGCATAATCTAGTTCATTCACTTTCATCACTCTCTCAAATCCATTCTTGGACAACCATCCCAGGATTGACATTAATGCTTTTTGCTCTCTCTTTCCTATTCCATTTGTCTTTTCAGCTGCCAACATCAAGCATTGGTTTTGCTTATCAGTTCCCTTCTGCAATTTGATTAGATTCGACTCATGTATATATACATTAAGAAGAAACATGGATGCAGGGATTAAGACATTTTTAGTCCCTCAAATTTGTAACAATTATCAATTTAATTCCTTACGTTTTCTTACATTATCATATTAGTCCTTGAGATTTTGAAACACAAATTGACTCACAAAATAATACTCCTTCCATTTCTATATATAAAAGAAAAAAAAAACTGTATCATACAGTTTAAAAAAATTAATTAACTATAATAATTATGTCTGAAAATAAAAAAGTGAAGTAAAATGCTCTCTGTTAATTAACATAATCATACATTAATTGCTTTTTATTAATATAAATTATGAAGAATGATTTAAAAAATATGTAATAAATACTTATTGAAATGGGTAATTTTACTTATAAAAAAATATAAGTAAAAAATAATAATTTCTCCAATAATAAAAAACGAAGGGAATATGATCATGTGTAAAGTATGTTGATTTTTATATGTCTGTTTTTTCCTTGCATAAATAATTATATTTCTTTTCATTAATTTATATGCTTGTGGCCAAACTCAATATTTTGTTATTTGTGTAAGAAAATTTTAACGATACGTTACCTCTTCTTCAAATAATAAGCACTAAATCAACAATTGAAATAAATTTAAAGGACCAACTAATATATAATTGAGGGAAACTTAAAGGACTGAAATTGAAAAAAAAAATAAACAAATTGAAGAACCAAATCAATAAATGAAACAAACGTAAAGGAATAAAAGTTTTACTATCCCAAATATGCATGAAAAGCAAAGTTCCACACACTAATTATGCTTGCCAAGTTTGCGTATTTGTTGTTGCAGTCAATAATATCTGCTAAGGTTCTCACCGGAGAAGAAATCAAATCTTTGAGGTACGAGTTCATGGCTAGTTTGAATTCTGCCAACAATGCAGTTGTTTCAATTATTTCAGCATCAATTATTTCAACGTTATCTATCTCCAAGTTGTCAACCAGCACAGCTCCTCGCTGCCAAATTCATTGTGATTGTAGATTTGTAGTGTAACCATGCAATTTTTTGCAGCATAATACTAGCATGCGAAATGCTCCCTCTGATCCTTAATTAATATATGTTTTTTTTTTTTTTTGCATGAGGTAACATTATGATGCATTACCAAAAATACCCTTATTTAATGCATCCCATAGTATCTAAGAAAATAGCTAGAGCCCTCACACTCTTTAAAGAAGGGTGATCACGGAAAGGCATTATTATTATCTTAGTAGAATGATAGTTAAGTTTAAAAAAATTAATGAAGTTAAGTTCTGGATAAAAATTTTTCAAAAAAATAAGTTTGAACTATATATCAATTCAAATAATTATATATTCAAAAGTTTTAATTGCATATAAAATATTTAAATTTTAAACGTAACTTTTAATTTGTAATTGAGATTCTTATCTGGATCCATCTAAATTAATATTCATAACTTAGTTTTTAAAAATTCATGGTTTGTTATCTTAAAAAAAGTCGTAAAAACCCCATTTTCATGATTACAAGATACTATAATATCTCTTATCAATGAAAAAAAAAAATAAAGAAAGAAGATAGGACATTACAAAATTAAAAACTTAAATATTGAGATATTAGAAGCTCCATTCAAACAAGAACTCACTATTAAAAAATAGTAGTTAATGATTGACAAATTCGTCACTGATCAATAAAATTTGTCACTAAATTTTGTGAAAATATTGTCTCACTAATTTAGTGACACAAACGATCACCCATGACTAATTTATTTTATAACTGCATTCTAATCAGTATCACCAAAATATCAATATCCTACCCATTGCAATCTGCAGAACCAAACACACAAAGAGAATAAGAGGAAAGAAAAAGAAAGAAAGAAAGGAAAAGCAAATACCTTGCTTTGTCCTCGTATGGCACTCCAGCCATTGGCCATTAGGAATACCATTTCCTCTGAAATGGGACCACTCGCTCAAGCTAGCCTTCCCTAATAAGATAGCCCCAACTTTCCTGAGCTTTGAAACCACCCCTGAATCTCTAGGCACCACTGAACCCAGAAGCGCATTTGAACCAGCCGTTGTGTTCATCTTATCCTTCGTCACAATTGCATCTTTCACCAGAATTGGGATTCCGTTCAACGCCGTCATAATCATCCTGCACGATGGTAACGACGTCGTTCTCAATAGGCCCTATCGGTTAGGGCTGGCGCATTGGGATTCAGCTCAAGCATGCTATGAACACTGTATTTATTTTGTTGAGTATTTTTTTTAATTTAATAAAATTAATAATAAATAATTAAAAAATATATAAATATAAAAATAAAATTTAATTCTTTTTAGGATTATATTTTAAAAAAAATTAATAGGATTTAATTTTATTTTAACCTAAATGATATTTTATTAATTAAGATCTTATTTTTTTTAGTTCATTCAAAAATAACTAAAAAATATAAAAATATAAAAATAAAATTTAATTTTTTAAGATTATATTTTAAAAATAATGATGATGATGATGATCTAACAATTTTTTTTTAAATCTTACTTAAATTTTAAAAAATCTCTCTGAAATTATCTTAACTATTCAAAAATATTGAGAATCAATTTTTAAAAGTTAACTTTTATTTCTCTACTTAAATCTTGCCATTTTTTATTAAAAAATATTTATTAATTTAATTTTTAAAATTAATTAACAAAAACACTAAAAGGCCAAAAAAGGGGGAGCCGAATAAAACACTGATCCCCAGCCTAAAAGGCTTTTCCCTCAGCAGACGCAGGGAACACACACACACGAGACAGAGCAGACGCAGAGAACACACACACGAGACGGAGCAGATAGGGAACAGAGCAGAAATGTAGAGGATGAACGCCGCTGGATGCAGCAGCCAGAGAGGAGTGAAGCACGCAATCGGTTTTCCACCTCCCACGCAAGCCTCTGAAGCTAAATCTAGTAATGAATCTGGTAAGATTTCAAAGATTGAGGGAACTCTTCATCTAAAAAGGGGGGCGAGAGGATTTTCAATGAAGGGGGAAGAACGCACGAACAAGGGGGCTGGGTTTGAAGAGAAGAAAAACTGAAAGATTGAGGAGAGGGAAGATTTTATGGAGATTAACCAAAAAAAAAAAAGAGGCTTTGAGTGATGGATTTGCTGGAGGCTGAGACCAAAAGAAGGGATTCCTGGGAGAAGAGATTGAGAAGTTTTTGGGAAAAAAAGGAGAGAGGCCGAGAGTTTAAACCAAAATATTGAGAGAATTTATGAAAGAAGAGACCGAGAAGGGGAGGAAGAGAGAGAGAGCTGGCCGAGAGTCTAAGGAATGGAGATCGAAGATCTAAGAGGGCTTTGTAGGAATTTTTCAAAAGAGAGGCAGAGAACGAAGTTTTTGTTCACTACGTTAAGCTCGAATTCTATACTTTTATCCTAAATATTCTAGCTCTTCTTGTATCATATATTATAATATATTATGTAGAATAGAGATTTTCAAATACTAGCTTTAATGGCATTTAAAGTTTTAATTTTATAGTGCTTATAAAATACTATAAAATTTAATGTTATCGTTGATCTTAGGTGACGTTTTATTAATTAATAAAACATCATAAAAAACTAGCAACAGCGGTGGCGTTTTAAAAAAAAATGTCACCTCTTTACTTATTTTAAAAAATAAAAGAAAAGAGAGATGATGTTTTTTAAGAGAGGTGGCATTTCTTGTAGGAAACGCCACCTCTCTACTTACTTTTTAAAAAATAAAAGGAGATAGGTGGCGTTTTCTACATAAGAAACGTCACCTATCTCCTTTTATTTAAAAAAATTAAAAAAATACCACTTTTTAATATATATATATATATATATATAATTCTTTTATATCTATCAATTCATATATATACATAATTTTTTTAATAAATGTTCAATTAATTTATATAATAAACTTTAATCATATAATTAATAAAAATGAATTTCATATTATATAAAACTACAATAAATTTAGCAAGATCATAAAAAATTAAAGATAAAAAAAACATGAATTAAATATTAGTTAAGAAATATAATAAGATTTGTCAGCAATTTTTGTAATATAGTTGTAAAAAATAATATTTACAACAAAAATAAATAAAAATAAAATTTAAAAAAATTATGACTAATGTTTAACGAGTTTCTTCTTCAATGATTAATAAAAATTATCATCATTACTTTCTTGAAAGTTTAAAACTTGACAAAACCAAATCATTTATCATTGAAAGCACAAAGATTAAGATCTCACTGTCTATCCCTTAGATCTGAATAAAAATTTATACCTAGAGAATTATTTCACCAACAAATATGCTTGGTAACAAATTAAAAGAACAAATCCTTCAATAATGGAAAGAAAAATTGTCAACTGAAGATAAACAACCGCAAAACTGTAAAGATCCATGTATATATATATATATATGGATAGGTAGATAAGAGGTAATAAAAATGAAAAAAGGAACCTGTTATTAGTATACACATACAAGAAATCTTAGCTAGAGAAGATGATGAGAGCACATTCAACAATTAAAAATAGATAACTCGTAGATTATAAGAGAGAAAAGCGAGTAGCTGGACGAATAGAATGACTTAAATGAAAAAAATTAGGGTTTTAAAATTCAAACAAGAGTTAAAAACTATTCATAATTTTAAAAATAATTAAAACTCACAACAGTGACATTTCTTTCATGAAGAAATGCCACCCTTTTAATTTTTTAAAAAAATTAAATTTATTGATAAAAAATAATTTTGAAAAGAGAGGTGGCATTTCCATCACATGGAAACACCACCTCTCTCATTTAAATAAATTTTTAATATTTAAAATTAAACAAATAATATTTAATACTTATATATTTTAAAAATAAAATAATGAAAAAGAAAGAGAGGTGGCATTTTCAAGTTTGGAAACACCACCTCTCTTCAATTATTTTTTAAATATTATTATATATTAATTATAAATACTTAATAAGTAAATTATAATGAAATAATTATTTAATGTGATAAAAAAAATTTAAATCAGTAAGAGAGTATTGAAAATGACATTTTCAAGCATAGCTAACATAGCCTCTTTTATTTTATTTATTAAATGATATGATATACTATTTAAAATTATATATTTAAAAAATTATAATAAATAATAATTTTTTAATAGAATAAAATAATAAATTAATAACAGGGCAAAGAGGTAGCATTTCTAAGCTAAAGTAACGCCTATTCTCTACTTTTAAATTATTAGATAATAATATATATTAATAATTAATATTAATTAAATAAATTATAATAAAAGAATATTTTATCATACAATAAAATATTGAAAAATGAAGAAAGGTGGCATTTTCAAGTTTGAAATGCCACCTCTCTTTATTTATTTTTAAATATTGTTATATATTAGTTATAAGAACTTAATAATTAAAAATTATAATATAATAATTTTTAATATGACAAAAAAATTTAAAATTAGTAAAAGAGTATAGAAAATGACATTTTCCAGAGCAACAAACATGGCCTCTCTTATTTTATTTATTAAATAATATAATATACTATCTAGAATTATTTATTTAACAAATTAAAATAAGTAATTATTTAATCTGATACAACAAAATAATAAATCAATAACAGGACAGAAAGGTGGCATTTTAAGACTAAAGAAATGCCACCTCTCTCCTTTCTAATTATTAGATAATGATACATATTAATGACTAATATTAATTAAATAAATTATAATAAAATAATATTTTATCTTACAATAAAATAGTAAAAAAGGAAGAGAGGTGTCATTTTCAAGTTTGGAAACGCCACCTCTCTTCAATTATTTTTCAAATATTTTATATATTAATTATAAATACTTAATAAGTAAATTATAATGTAATAATTTTTAATACAATAAAAAAATTTTTAAATTAGTAAGAGAGTATGGAGAATGATATTTTCAAGCACAGCAAACCTGACCTCTCTTATTTTATTTATTAAATAATGTGATATTCTATTTAAAATTATTTTTTTAGAAATTATAATAAATAATTATTTAATATGATAAAATAAAATATTAAATTAATAACAGGGCAAAGAGGTGGCATTTTCAAGCTAAAAAAACACCACCTCTTTGCTTTTAAATTATTAGATAATAATAAATATTAATTAAATAAATTATAATAAAATAATATTTTATGTTATAATAAAATGTTGAAAAAGGAAAAGAGGCAGCATTTTCAAGCTTGGAAATGCCACCTCTCTTCAATTAGTTTTTAAAATTATTATATATTCGTTATAAATACGTAATAACTAAATCATAATGAAATAATTTTTTAATATGATAGAAAAAATTTTAAATCAAGAAGAGAGTATTGAGAATGTAATTTTCCAGCACATGACCTCTCTTATTTTATTTATTAAATAATATGATATATTATTTAAAATTATTTATTTAAAAAATTATAATAAATAATTATTTAATCTGATAGAATAAAATATTAAATTAATAACAGGGAAGAGAGATTGCGTTTTCAAGCTAAACAAATACCATCTCTCTACTTTTAAATTATTAAATAATGATACATGTTAATAATTAATATTAATTAAATAAATTATAATAAAATAATATTTTATGTTATAATAAAATGTTGAAAGAGGAAGAGAGGTGGCATTTCCAAGTTTGGAAACGCCACCTCTCTTCAATTATTTTTTAAATATTGTTATATATTTGTTATAAATATTTAATAAGTAAATTATAATGTAATAATTTTTAATATGATAAAATAAATTTTTAAATCAGTAAGAGAGTATAGAGAATGGCATTTTCGAGCACAACAAACATGGCCTCTCTTATTTATTTATTAAATGATGTGATATTCCTTTTAAAATTATTTATTTAACAAATTATAATAAATAATTATTTAATCTGATAGAATAAAATATTAAATTAATAACAGGATAGAGAGGTGGCATTTCCAAGCTGAAGAAATGCCACTTTTTTGCTTTTAAATTATTAAATAATAATACATATTAACAAATAATATTAATTAAATAAGTTATAATAATATCTTATAATGAAATATAAAAAAAAAAGAAGAGAGGTGGCATTTTAAATTATAATAAAATATAAAAAAAGAAGAGAGGTGGCATTTCTAAGTTTGAAAATGCCACCTCTCTTCAATTATTTTTTTAAATATTTTTATATTTTT